TAGTAAACAAAAATATTATAATCATATTTAATAATTTTTCATTAGATTAATTAAATTAAGAATTCTATGGCCAAAGCAGCAACAGAATATTCAGATTATGATATCTCTGATGATTCTCTGGTATTTAAAATTTCTTACTAAAGTTGAAGGGTAGAATTAACAGAAGTAAGATTGATAAGCCTTTGATATGTTTTTGTGTATTAAACTTTTTCCTTAATGCTGCTGTCTCAGTTATAGCACCTTTTTATCCTCCTTTAGCAAAAGATAAAGCCCATGTATCAGTATCTACAATTGGATATATTTTTGGATTGAATCCAATAGGAGCATTTTTTTTTTCTTTGGTTATGGGTAAGAAAATGTCTTAATGGGGAAGAAGAAGATGTATGCTAATTGGTTTAGTAATAAATTGATGTAAAATAGGTTATTTAATCAGCAGTAGTAGTTGCATTTGGATTATTAGATTTTATGACTCATAATAAAGAGTTGTTTATCACTGTCTCTTTAGTAACTAGATTTTTGTAGGGAGCAAGTCGAGCAGCTTATAGTAGTATATCATTTGCATATATACCAATATTATGGCCTGATTCAATTTAAAAAAAGATTTCTATTTTAGAAACATTAACAGGGTATTTTGTATAAAATAAGGTATAGTTTAGGTTTGATGAGTGGTCCATTTATTGGAGCAGCTTTGGATGCATTATTTGGATATTAGATGATATTTTATACATTAGGAGGCATATTTTTCATAGCTTTAATACCAACTGCTATATTCTTACCTGAAGATGATCATTCTTTAAATAAGAAACAAACGCTAAATTCAAAAAGAGTAATTAGAAATAGGTAAATATGGAGTTTGGGATTATTATTAACAATGATGTCAGCAGGTACAACATTTATTAACCCTATTTTCTCAATTCATATGAAATGTTATAATATGGAAGAAGATGTGGCTAGTTTATTATTAGGATGGTTAACAATATCATATATCATTTGTATTAATATAGTTCCAAAATTATTATAATGTATAGACAAAAAAATAATATTAACTTTTGGATTATTTTGCTCTTGTTTAGGTGATTTGATTATTGCTCCTCTGGGAATCTTTCCTAATAAATGGTTTATGACTATGATAGGACTTCCATTTATTGGTATTGCAAATGCTTTTTGTGTATTGCCTGCTATTCCTCAATATATAGATTATCTTAATTAAATTTTCAATAATGATCAATCATTGAGATTACCAATTTCAGATTTATCCAGTGGATTATTTATTTCTTTTTACTCACTTGGAACATTTGTGGGACCTGTTATAGGAGGAATTGTATATGATGCTTTTTTAGTTGACTAATCAAATGAAGCTTAAATGACTAGTTTCTAAAGATCTTCATATACTATGGCAGGTCTATAGGCCATTATGTCAATATTATTTATATTTGGAGGAGATGTTTATGCACCAGGATATAAAAGAGTAAGATAAGGTGAAAATATAGGGATTTCACTTGAGGAGGAAGATGAATATGAAGGATCAAATAAGATTGGAGTGCAAATGTTTAGTTCTACCTAACCTAATGTTTCTCATGATGAATCTAGTTGATAATGTAGATAATTTGATAACAAATTAATATTATTCAATATATTAGATTAACAATCATTTATAAATTTTATCAGTTTTGTTTTCAGGTCTGTAGTTCTTGCTTTTTTCATAAAGTTTTTTCATTTTTTCTATATAATCTTAAGTTAATCATTATAATTTATATTTTCTATAATAATTTTGCCATAGTAATAATTCCAAAAATATTAAATTATTTTAATAAACTCCTTATAAGATAACTCCCAACTCATTAAAAAAGAATCTACTTTTTGTTTATGATATTGGTGTCATCAATAAAATACCAATAATGGAAATGGGAAATTTTCTTAGAGCAAAGAATCTGTAATCATAAAAATTAATTCCATTTAATAATTTTTGTTTATCTTCTCCTTAGAGTATTTACCAAGTATCCTTCTTTATAATTTAAAAATTGCATAAAATATTCACTCATTTTAATTATTTGTGTTATATTATTTATTAAATATTTATCTATTTGAAGAAATAATAAGTTCACATTTTAGATCCTAATTTATGTTTCCATAATTTCATGAGATTTCCTTCCAATATTTAATTTATTTTGGTTAATAAATAAATGTTTTCTCCTTCTAAATCGTCTCTTTTATCAAGCACTTCCTTATTTAATTGTTATTGCATCATCTACTATCGAAATTGCATGTTAGGTTAAAGTAATGAGAATTCTCTACTATCCTCTGATATAAATTTAGTAGGTTTTAAAATTGTTGGCTTATTTTTGTATTCATCAATCTATTTTTTCCTATGTTATATAATAAATTATATAATTGTGTTTTTAACATCAATGTCATCTTAACACTTCTTGACTTTCTTATATAATTCTTCTGCAGCTAAACTTTTAACTTCTCCCTCTTCATCATAATTCCTATTCAAAAACAATTAATCAAATATTTAAAGGGATCTATGCATGTCAGTTTCTTTTTTCTCTTTCTATTTAAGCACCTTTTCCTAAGCCAATTCCTCTGCCTTTCTTATACGGAATTAAAACTAAATCTTTTTTCTAAATGAAACATATCCCACATCTCCAGTTTCTTTTCTAACTTTAGCTTCAATAGATTCATGAACTGCATTTTCAATAGCTTTATTCTTTTTTTCTTATTGTTGAATATCTTTTAATAATTTATCCTACTCTTCTATTATTAAATCTACTATATCACTCTTTGTGTTATTTATCCGAAACAAATTCAATCTCTATTGAAATTCTTCCAAAGTAGGTTAAGATGCTACTTTTTTAGAACTGTTTAGAATATTTTTCGAGACTTAATACCATTATGAATTGTTTTTATTTTCACTTTAACTCTTTTATCTTGGAGACATACTAACTCTTAATTTATATTTACATTTATATATTTGATATTGATTTCCGAGAGATTAAATTTTCTTATTATCTTGGTGGAAATAGTTTCTTCAATTCTTCTTCATCTTCAAAATTTGCTTTTTCCAATTTAATTGTTCCTATTTCTTAATTCAATTACATCATTCTTTCCATTTAATCCTTAAATTAAACTATTCCTTTCTATTGCAAAGCTTACAAATATCAATTTTAATATACTTTATTCAAATTCCTATTCTAATTACTCATCAAATGAACTTTCGAATGAGATATCAGATCCTTCTGTGTCTTCTGAATCAAAATCCAATTGAATTTAAGATTTCTAATTCATTTTATTTTAGTAATATATATATTAATAATTAAAAATTTGTTTTTTTCTATATATCAGATATCAGATCTTCTATTTTGATTAATTTATCTTATGATATTGAAACTTATTTTTACATTAATTTAATTAAATTTTATGTCTGAAATTAAATGTTAATATGCAGATCATAATGAATAATAATGTCTTTTTATTTGCATTGATCCTGCTTGCACTTTAAAAAAAAGAATTGCTTGTTTTCAGTGTTTTCAAGATTAAAAATATCATTTAAATCATCAAGGATTAACAATTTAAGAGTTTTAATAAAAAGTGAATTTTAGATTATAAAACCTTAAAAAATTACAAACTTTTTTAAGCTAATTTAAAGAAAAATTTAATTTTATTATATCATAATGGGAAGAAGATATTAAGAAACTTATATTTAAAGGGAATGAGTATTTGAAAACTGAATATAACAATATATTCGTTAAAATTGATGATTATTATAGATATGAATCAGATTTAACTGTTCCATATCTTAAATTTCAACTAGAAAAAATGCAAAAAAAGATTGATAAAATTAAAAAATACATTAATAATATCAAATACTATGATAAAAATTTATTTGCTCAATAAATAAATGAAATCAAGGTAAAGGCAATGAATATGATTATAAAAAAAGATGGTAGTTATGAGGATGCCATTTAATAATTAAATAAAGGATTAAAAATAGATCCAGTTAATTGCAGTTTAATTTCTCTCAAAGTATTTAATTTTATAATTTTAGAGTACATGTCTTATAAATATAAATTAGATTGAGAAGGCTAAAATATTAGTTGATTATGCTTTTGATATTAATTAGAATGATGAAACAGTTCTATTATTAAAATCTAAACTCATGTTGAAAGAAAAATAATATTATGAATGCTTAAAGTATTATGAATTGAGCATAGAACCTAATTAATATTTAGCATTTTAAAAATGTATTTTCTTATTACATATTTAGTGGATTCATTATAAAAATTGAATTATCATTAAGAGTTCTAAAAATTCAAATAAGAATGTTAAGATTTGTTTGGAAATAACTTTAATAAAGAATATGAGGATCATTAAAAAATGTAGACTTATGATTGAACAATATTATATATATATTAATTGTCTAAAATATTATGAGATATATAATATAAACATTTTAATATATTAAGATTTATATAAATTGTCATTCTTAATCAAGATTAATTTAAATTTTAATCTACATATTCAATATATATTTAATTAATTAAAATGTCACTTAACTCATAGAGATAATAAAAATAATTGCATTAAAAACTTGAAATATCAAGACATTTGGAATAGTATATATTAATGCTGTTAAAGTAAAATAGAGAGGAAATGAATAATTAAATAGATGATATTGTTTAGAAAATAATTAATTAAAAACCAAGAAAATGAATTTTGTGTGTTTATTATAATAATAAAATATATAAACCAAATTTAAATAAATTGTAACTAATAAATAAATTATTAAATCTTAATTTTATTATTAGTTATCAAAATATATTGATAATTTAAGAAAGGTTATCAAGATATAGATTAAGACATTATGATTGATTAGTAAAAAGTATTATAATACTAAAAATTACACAGTGATTTAATAAGTGGATTATATAAATTAGCCACAAATCAAAATAAATTAGGCAGAGCTTTGAAAGGTTGGGCTCCATTAATTTGAAAGTATTTCATTAATTTTAAGTAATTTATTTCATGTTCAAAATGCTTTACTCAACTAATTTTACCATTTCTATAATATCATCCAATAATTCATTTCTATACATTGCTTCAATTTTCAATTTAGGTCCACATTTGAAACATTCCTTTTAATATCCTTTTTTGCATTCAAAACAGTAGGAATGACCACAAGGTATAATAGTAACTGGTTATTTTATGAATTTATTGCAGAAAGTACAAGCAAGACCTTTTTCAATTTCTTTCTAAAAGTTTAGTGATTATGGAATACATGAGTTTTTTCTAAGATGGCAATAGTTTCAATGACTTAAGACATGTTTTTTGGTTTAGAATCACCTAATTTCTTATTAAATTCATCTATTTTTTAATTTAATAATTTAATTTCTGTTTATTAATCTTTAAGAGATTTTTCTTATTCTCCAATAGCTTTATTAATTTATTCTACAGAAATAGTCTTTTCATTTAAGTTCTTTGTAGAAGTTTCAATTTTTAATTTATATTCTTCAATTTAATGAGTCAATTGATCAAAATTTTTTATTTAAATATCAAGATTTCCATTCCATTAATGTATTTCTTTCTTAAATAAAAAATAAAATATATACATCTTTTAATTTATTTTATTCAGTCAATTGTTATTTAAATTAATTGACTGCTTCTTATAATTTATTATTTTAATCTTAAAAGTTGATAGGTTACTTCTTAAGTTATTCTTGTAATTAATTTCTCTCCTTTTATAACTCCTTAACTCTATTTTAAGTATTATTGAATTCAGATGATAAACATTCTTCTTTAGTTAAGTATTCTTTTTTATATTGATCCATTTGATTTTTAATTAATAACTTCTCAGATTAAATGGATTCTAAATTCTTTTTAAGTTCATCCATGATAACTTATGATTTATATTTTTTCTCCTTAAGAACATAATAATATTTAATACTTCACTCTTCTTAATTAAATCTTTCAATTTTTTAGAATCATCAGGCATTTCTTCTTTGATTTTTATTTTATGAGTAATATCATTCAATTAGGTATTGAGTGTGTCTATAGTTTAATTTAATTAATGTTCTTTTGCTAAAATAGCTTTTTAAACAGTTTCTAATTGCTGAATTTTATCTTTATCCTTATCAATTCCTTATTATCCTATATTTTTATTGGATTCATGGATAGATTTAAGTTTTAATTGTGCTGATTGATATTATTATCCTAAATCTTATAATTGTTTAGTTTTTTCTTCATTTAATAATTTCTCTTTTATCAATTCTTGTCTTACAGATTCAAAACCTTTTTCTATAGTAACAATCATATCATTGCGTAATTCGATGTCCTTATTATATTGCTCTAATTTTGTATCAATTTATTTAATGAATTAAGACTCAGCCATTGGACTTTATTTTTTTGATTTCTTATTGAAGTTATCAGTAGCTAAAATTCAAATTTGATAGAGTTATGTACTTCCAAACTTGAGTTTTCGAGATTATGTATGTAAACGACCTGGAAATTATTCATCTTCTGACAACCTTGGTAGTTGTTATTGTTAGCGCATTAAATATTAATCATAAATCAATGAGGCAATAGAATCAAACTTAAAATCAGATGGCTTAGAAATTTGGAATAAATGCATGATAAAACTGGGAAAGCAAACACTAGAATATTGAATCTAAGTAAAAGCACAATAAATACTAGTATGATAGGAAAACCTACAAAAAAATACCAAAAATAGACATATTGTTAAACAAATTCAAAATTTTGTAGGATTTAAATAATGCTACATGAATACTACTTGTGTAATAAATACATTAGAACAATACATTAATACATAAACACAGAATCATTATTGAGTGGATATCAACAAAAGGAACTTGATTATAAATCATTACTAACTTAAATTATATTATTATGCTCTACCAATTTTTCAATCCTAGATTAATTCAATCAAATTAATGAATCAAAATGATTTCCACCATCATTTATCCTTACATAAATACTAAAAATGCTCTTGAATGTGTTAAATAAGTGTCAAGTACCTCATCAACTAAATCTGGTAAATCTTAAGGATTTATATAAAATACTAATTCATTATCTCCAAACATTGGGAGCATGATTTATTGAGGCTCCTAAACTATCTTTTATGATCCTATCATTGATTCATTCTTCAAAAGACAAACTTTAATTTTTTAATTATTTCTCTATTACCATAAACATATGATCCATTTTCATTAACCATTATTATTAACTTAAAAATTTCATTTATACGGCTCCTCTTGATGATAGTAAAGTTGTGATAGTAGCTTCAGATAATCTTCTTTCTGACTTTTCAATTCAAAAATAAATAAATAATAAAAATACTGAATATAATTTACTAAATTAAAAAATGTATAATTATTTATTGTTAAAATAAATATATCATATTTTTAATTTGACTTTTCCATTTTCCAATTTAATTTAATCTTTTTCTTCTTATTCTTACAAAAATACATCATCTTACAAAACTTTCACTTATTCTCCATCTTTGAATGCAGGCAATCCTAAAATGATTTAATTATTAGCAACCTCTGAATGGACAATTTGCACATCTAAATGCATCACCAAGATAACAACTACCACAACCTTTGACTGAATTATTTTTTAATTATTCTAATAATTATTCTTGATCTTATTTCTCTCTAAAATGAATATTATTTTTATTTATACTCCATTTCTTTTCTTCCACAAGTACAATTTGCACATGCTCTAGGCTTAGATGCACAACTTTCTACCTATTTCACTTAAACACCATCATTTAATAATTCGTTCTCATCAATAATTTCTTATTTACTATTAATATCAACTTATTTGAAACAATTGATTTGATTTTAGAATTTCTATTCAATATAATCATATTTTCCATAACAATTATTGAATTCTTGTTATGGAACATTTATTTTCTTAATTTATAATACTTATTTTATAAATTTCCCTTAACCTTAATTATACAATCCACTGGCTTAAAGGTATGTTAGAATTAACTCATTAATCTCACCTTCATATATTAATACTCCCTCTTATTTATATGTTTAATAATTTACAATCTTTTAATATCTATGAGATTTGAACAGCATCTTTGAATGTTATTAATTAATCACATTCTATCTTATTGAATGTATTATCTCTAAACATTTTTATTAAGTTTAAATTAGCTATAATTAGTGAATCACTTATAGATGCTTGTTAATTAATTGTGATTTTTAGGTTCATTAATAATATTTTAAATTAAATGCCAAAAGTAGTTGATAGCTATGTGCTTGAGAGAAGTATAGGAAAAGGACAATTTGGAGAAGTGTTCAAAGGATATAATAAGCAAACAAATGTAGACATAGCAGTGAAATGCGTAAAGAGGTGTTGAGTATTTCAAATATTTAGGGAACTGCTGAAAGGGAAGTTTACGGAGTTGTTAGAAAATGAAATAAAAGTACTGAGGACTTGCAATAATGATAACATCATAAAGTTATACGATATAAAGAAGACTGCCAATAACATATATCTAATAATGGAGTACTGTAATGAAGGTGATCTTTCATGTAATAATAATTGTCATTTAAATGTAGAGTACATAAAACAAAAGAAATTTTTACTTGAAGAAGAAGCAGTAGATTACTTGCTTTAAATTCTAAATGGATTTAAAACACTTGTTAAGAATAAGATAATGCATAGAGACTTTAAATTGGCAAATATCCTAAAACATGATGGCAATATTAAAATAGCAGATTTTGGATTCTCAAAACTTTTGAATGACAATTAAGGTTTAGCCACAACAATGCTAGGATCTCCACTTAATATGGCTCCAGAAGTACTCAATAATCAAGAATATGACAGTAAAGCAGATATTTGGTCAATTGGTACTTGTTTTTATGAATTATTATTTGGAAAATCACCATTTACAGCTACAAATATGGTTGAATTACTCAAAAACATATAAACTAAATAGTTTGTTATTAATAGAAAAGTAAATAATATATCTGCTACTGCAGAAGATTTATTAAAAAAAATGCTTGTTGTAAATCCTAAAAATAGAATATCTTGGGATGATCTATTTAAACATGAAATAAATTTCTATTAAGAAGAAAAGTTAAAGAAAGATTTAGAAACTACATTAAAGGGTGGAGAATTAATGATGAATATGAGTAAATTTTATATCAAAAATAATATGGTCATTGATCATCCAGCTGAAATAAAGAAAAAGGAAGATTTAAATAATTTTGCTATGTAAGTAGCCTAAAAGGGTCCATAGAATTAATAATAATAATATGTTGGGCCATTATTAAAGAAACCTTAAGAAGAAAATAATCTTGCAAGATAGGATTCAGCTAAAACTGTTTAGAGTACTTAAGGACCAGTTTAAGATATTGGTAATGAAGAAGTCACTGATAAGGAAACATAAAGAGAAAAAGAAATTAAGGCTAAAAAAAGAAATGCTAATAGGATTTTGCATGAAAGAAATATATATGTTTTTCTTGCATCTGTTGCCGAAGAAGCCATGAATAATTAGACTATTCAAAACTATGATGTTACAGGATTCTTGTTAGTCAAAAAGTTGTTACAATTAATTGATTTCCTAAAAACCATTCTACAAGATAAATAAAATTGTTATGGATTGGAGTATTTAATTAATTTTATTTACATCCTAGGTTTTGGGAACAGTTTACTTAAAGTAAGGATTATAAAGACATCCACACATACATTTCAAAAGAATTTGATGTTTTCAAATCCTACTTTGATTCAATCTTTGAAAAAATTAGTATTTAAGTATAATAGAGACCAAAAATGGATGATGCCATTAAATAAGCTATTAACAACAATTTTAAATAGAACAATTAATAAATATTAGTCAAATGTTTAGTAGATTATTCAAAATTATTGATTGAAACCCTTAAAAAAACAAAACCTTAAGATTAAGTAATTTAAATTATATATTTAAGAATCGATAATAATGGATCCATGCTGATAGAGTATTAGATTGTATAAGATTAGAAGAAACCTTTTAATTTGATGATAGACTAACAAACTAGCAATTTAATTTTAAATAATATTATGAAAATGATAATTTATTGGAAATGGAAGCCCTATAAAAAAAGGTGCTATAAAAGTTTGAGAAACTAAAATGAATTATTATCTGTTCAACGAATATAATAATTATATTATTATCAATTTATTAATATATATATATATAGAGTTATATCTAGTAATCTAATGAAGCTCTTTTTTTAATTTATAAATAATTATTAGGTTTTTATTTAATAATTTTTATTTTACACTCTATTGTAAATTTATGGGAAATAGTTCATTTCAACTTTTATTATCTTATTTATGAATTTTGCAAAGAAAAATTAACTAATTGATGAGGAGTTCATATGATAAATTTACTTACTGAATTGTCTATTTAAAGATTTATATAAATTAAATGGATTATTATATTCAATTATAATTTTAAGTGGCTTATTAAAAAATGTCTAATAATTCAAAAAGAACTATACATAAACTTAGATTAAATTGAATATATATGTATATTAATGAATTAATATTTGTCATTTATTATATTATTTATTATAATGTTAGCTTATGCTCTAAATTAATATGGGTTATTAACAAATATATCGATAAAGAATATTTGATAAATATTATTAGGATTGGATATATTTATAAATTTTATGAATATAAAAATAGTCATATAATATTTATTATTAATTTATTTATTGTTATTTTAAACAATTTAAATATTGAGTAATATAATTTAAAATCAAAAAAATTTAATGTAGAGAACCGATGTATTGGCCAATAGAATAAGCATTTTAATTGCTTTTTTATTAATATGCATTTTAATTGCTGTATTTGGAAGACAATCAAATGAAAATTAAGCAATTTCTGAACGTTTTGAACCTGAAGTGTCAGAATCAGAAATTCGATACTTTTTAGAAAATGATATTAACTTTAATGATAGTGATTAATTTGGAATTTAGACAATACAAGATTGGTTACCTATATAATCTGAATTAGCTCAATTGAATTTGGCATTAGAGTATTTTTCGCGCTTAAATTTGGACAAAATATTGAATAAACATGTTGGTCTTGAGGAATAAGTAAATTAATGTTTAGAGTTACATTTGAATTAAGAATTAGAAAAATATGTGAATCAGATAAATTCAAGTTCAATAAATTAAACTATTAATTCAGATGCTCTATTTAATTATAATGTTCTTTTTGAAAAAAAAATATAATTAAATGAAGCAATATTTAATAAAAAAGCATAATTAGATATTTTGTCAGCTGAAGAAAAAGACTTAAAATAAATATGCACATAATATTAATTGAATGAATTAGAAACTATAAAACTTGATAACAAAATTAAATAATTTTAGAAATATTCTTAGGATATAAATTATTTGGAATAAAAAATAAATGATTCAAATTATAAGATTTAATAATATTTATAAGAATAAGGAAATTAAGAAGATTTAACAAAAGAGTATTAAAAAGATTAAGAATTAGCAAAAATTATGAGCAAATTATTTAAACCTACAGGAACAAAATCAGTAGAAATTCATGATGAAAAATTAGGAGGAATTTTAAATGTTTTAGATAAAAATATGAAATAATATAATACAACTGAAGTATTTTTAAATGGTTTGAATTTTCATCGTGAAATATAAAAAAATTATTTAGAAGAGATGCAATTAATTATATAAAGAGATTAGAGTTCATTAGAATACAAAAGAAGAGAAAAAAATAATTTAGAAAAAGAAATTGAAGATTTGGAGAAATAAAAAAAGGAAAAAAATGAAAATTATTAAAATGCTGTAAGTAGATTAGAAGAAATAAGAAGAAGTAAAATAGAATTAAATAATTTAACTTAAATTGAAAGATAAGAATTAGATTAGGTTATTTATGAATTGAAAAATTACAATCCATAAAGTAATCTTTAAAATGATGAAAAATTAGATGCATAAAAAAAATTTAAAGGTAAATAATTAATATTAATTATATAGAATATTTATATTTACATTTAAAAGAGGATTAATTGTGTGTTGAAAAATGCATTGAATATGATTCTCTTAATCAATAAATTAATATTGGAAGATATAGAATTTCATTGAAATCAATTTAAAAACATTTCTCAGAATTGGAATTAAAATTTAAAGAATTCAAAATTTGAAATTTTTTATTAAAGATATACATAAATGTTGATGTCAATCATACATCAAACTAAACTTTAAAGCAATTTATTTTTTTTATCAATTTAAATTTATTATGCAGTTTATTGTCCTTTAATAGAACTTTATCTTCCTAATGGTCTTCCTTTAAATTCATTTGAATCAGCATTTATTTCTGATTCTGTCTTTGAATCTTTATTAGTATCTTCCGAATGTATTTTAAGAACTCTCTCTTCTTCTTAAGGATATTAAGATAATAATTCATAATTGTCTTTCTTCATTTTTTCAAGCATTGTTGGATCATCTTGTAATTTTGTAGAAATGGTCTTTCTTTATAATACTTCTCCAATATTTATTTTTTCTTCTTAAAGTAAAGCTTATTTAGCTTTAGTAACAGATTCTTTAGACATTGGAATAATAGAATTTGTATTTGAATTTCCTTTTCTTAAATCAGTAGCTTAAAATAAATTTATGAAAAATACCAAGTTATCTTAAAGCAAATAATGATGTTTCTTATTCTTGTGTTAAACCTAAAAATGTAGATTATTTATTAACAATTCTTGGTGTACCTAAACATAAAGTTCTTTCTTTATCACTCATTTAACTTAATACATTATTCATTCTATTTCCACCAATTGTTTTTTCAAACATTTATTTATTTTTTTCTATTTATTCTTATTTATCAGTAGATTCTATCTTTCCATTTTTTGTATTTTTTTAAATAACATTTAAAATATTACTATATTCTACTGAATACTTCTTACAAATTTTCTCTTAAAATTCTACAAATTCATCATCATCTTTCATCTATTAAACTTTATCTACAATTGATTTATATATAATTTTCTTAGCTAAAAAACCTGCTCTTAAAGATTATATACAATCATCTGGTAATTTTGTTACATCATCTGCTTATAATTAATAAAGCTAATATTTATATTGAATTATTTTACAGTAGATTCACATATAGATATACTTCCATATTCTGATCCTTAATCAAATAATAATTTTTATTCATTAAATACTCCTACATTTTGAATGCATCCAACAATTATAAAGTTATGACTTTTTGTGGAAGTAAAAATTAATGTTATGCCTTTTGTTTAAAAGTATAAACTTGCTGTTCCTCCCTCTGGAACTGTCATTATGCTACCAAACTTTTTTTTTGTTTCCTTAAATAATGGTAATATAGCTTGTTTTTTTTAAATATCTAAAGATCTAATTGGAATACAACGTTGTAAATTTTGAGACTTTATTTCTAATTCTTACATTTCAGCACTCTAATTAATTTGTATAATTGTATACATTTTTAAATGAGTTGAATAATTATCTATCAACCTAAAAAGCAATGGCTCCTTAACCAAATTCAACTTCTTCATTTGATACTACTTCTGCCTTTTTGTATACTCTTGTCTTTGATTTTAATTCACCTAATAATCAATTTATATCATACCTTCTTAAACAAAGTATATTGGATTAGATCCATCATTACTTGTTGCTATTTTTATATGCTTTATGATCTAATGTTATTATATATAATGAACTTCATTAATTTAATCTCCTTTCAGGTTACTCTCCAACCACATATAAGCAGGTGGTCCACTAAAATTCTTAATACAATGCTTAATATAAACAACATCATCATCTGTCATATTTGAACCTTTATATAATACAATTTATATGTAAATACCTTGATCCAATATTTATCTCATCTATTCTTTCCTGATATCATCCCAATTTGTTTTTGTGGTAACTTAAGACAATTTGTATTACATTTTAGCAATAAAATTAATTAATCAAAAATTATACTAGTTTAAAGATACAATTTTCTTTGCTATCCCATCTCATTAGAAATAATTCAATCTAAGGTGACTTCTCTATTATATATTTATAATTAAATACATATGAAAAAATACTAAGTATTACTTATTTTATTAATTAATTAATCTAAAGAATACTTAGTAATAATTAACTATGCTTTATTCATTCATCCATCTATTCTAAATTAAACTCTATTCACTAAACAAATAATATGAACATGACTTCAAAATCTTGTTTTCAGTAAACTAATTAGAATGATTATTATGACAAACAATTGACAAATAGATTAAGATCTGAAATCATCAAATAAATATTAATGTTTTACTTATAATACAAATTCATCTATAGTATTTTAGATTCATATCTTTTATTGAAGTATTTATCTTAAAATCAAAATCTTGTTAAAAAAAATCATTTCTAAATTAGATGAACTAAAATAAAAATTTATTAATAAAATTAATCTGTTAATTTAAAAAAAAATATCCATATTTGCAAATGTCAACAAAAGTCAAAATTTCAAAGAGAGGGCAACAATATGAATTATCTTAAAAAGAAAACTATAACCCATTTAGTAATTTATCACTTTGTCCTAAATCAATAATTGCATTAGCTTAATCTTCATATGATCCATAACTTATAGAATTTACTCTTAATTAATTAAAGACTCCATGTAATTCAAAACACTAAACTCATTTAAATAGAATGAGATAAATTGCAGATAAATAAGAGAACTTTGTACATGGTTCAATCAGTATGAATAGCCAAATAGAAACCGTAATATAATACAGTGATCATTCATTTTATGACTAAATGGAAACAAGTCACAGAAAAAATAGTTTGCATTATTTTGATGAATCTTATTAACACTTTTGATTTTAGTTATTATAAATTACTTCTATAAAAGATTCACATGACTTTTTTTTATATATTAATTATAATGTATAATTATCATTTCTAAATGAAAATAAAATAAAAATGGACTATTAAAAATTTGAGAAAATACCATAAAGTGATTAATCAAAAATTTAATAAAAGTGATGTATTCTTAGAATTAGAAAAAGTATTTAAAATAAATTTATACTAAAAAGCATAAAAATACTATGAATATTATTATATAGTCTAGAAATCTTAAAGTTCTTTAAAACATTATTAAAGAGATATATAAATTATATAAATTGATGATATTAATTATTATTGAATTTTCCATAAATTAGGAAAATGAATTTATCAAATAATTTGAAATTTCATTAGATTAAACTTTAAAGAACTAAAAGTTTTCTACCATTCATAATAATGTTAAGTAATTCGAATAATCTCATATCTCCATCCAATCTTTGAGTTTTTATTTTACCAATAAGCATTGATAAAAATGGGTCATCTAAATCTTATATAGATAAATAAATATAATCATACTATTATTTGTAAGATTATGAAATTATTTTGCTAAGCATTCAGTTAATTGTTTAATGGTATTGAAACATGAAAATTTAGAGATTGAAAAATTGAATTCATATTCATAATCTGGCTTTAAGACTATAATTAATATATTACTGTATTCATCCTAAAAATATAAAAATAGGTATACAATTTGTTATTATGAACATTTTTAGATTCTTTCCCAAATTTTTTATTATAATAAATTCATTCCTAAGTGTAAATTTGGACTATTTATATATATAATGTAAAGTATTTACTTTTATATACTTTTAATATTTTCAATTAATATTGATTAATCAATAATATCCTTCAAAAATATTGAACTTTTTTTCCTAGATGTTCTAACTTCAAAACTTTATTGTTTCATAAATGCACTTTAACTTTATTCAATAATTTTAGATGTTGAAGAGGCTTTTTTTAAGATGGAATAATCTTTAAAGCTTTTTGATTTTCCTGTTTTTATTAATTAATGCATTTCTTTGACAATAAGGAATTAAAATAATTAATAGTGAAATAAATTTAGTTGTTTTAATAATTATGTAAACTTTAAGAAATTAAATGTTGCAAAAAAAATATAAATAAAATGATTAATAATTATACAATATTAAATAATACTTCATTAAGGCTATAATGATTGAATATTTTTGCTATCTAGAAATTGTTAAGCAGCATCATTTAATGGATCAACTTAAATAATATTATAAGATATATTTTACCTTAAGAACCTTCATCTAGAAACTTCAATTTTATTGTTCCATTATAAATTAGATTTCCTGTAACCAATACAAAGAATCCAATCAATTCTAAAACAATAGCCTCCCATCTTGTGTTTTCCCATTTGGCTTCTGGATCTATCCAAGTAATAGCCAATGAAACAGCCCATATAATTAATGTTCTTGATACATCAACAAGAGATCTAATTTAAATTAAAAAATCATTATTACCTAGCCAAAGAAGATACATATTTAGTAACTGAAACACCACAAATATTAAATGTAGCTATTGTAAATACACCCAAAATAACCCAAAAGAGTAATAAACCACTGGCAAAGATTTACAAAAAGTAAAAATCAGCTCTTTCAAAATAAAACATATCCGTCATTCTTTTTTATATACAACTACCTTCCATAGAGGTTGGACATTAAATAAATGTTAATGCTATTGCCAAAACTACGTAAACTGAAAAACCCCATAATCCTTCAATACCTACTATTTCAAAAGGATGTAAATAATAAACATCAAATAACTTCTCTTCAGAAACAAATTAAAGTCCATTCATTACAACTGATAATAATAATAATCCAACTGATATAAAATAAGCTGCTCCTATTTCTGATTTTGTATCAGAATCATCATTATTGTCTTTTTTAGGAGGGAATAAAAATGAACTCATTCCTACTAAAGTAATACCAACCAAAACAAAAAAGCATCCAAACCATTAATATCTTTTAATATGTCTCTTTAAAAAACATGTAGACATAATTGCTGTAGAGATAATTGCTCCTCCTCTTAACATCTAATAAATTGATGGGGGAATGTAATTTAAGGATATATAAGCCAATGTTGAGGCAGTTAAATCACACATTGCTGGAATAGCCACCCAACCATAATTAACTTTTGTTTTTAATCTATTATATATAAAATTTCCATATATACCCTTTTGCTGCTGCTTCAATACATCCTTATTTATAATCTGGCTTCTTCTTAATATTTAAAAATAGTAATATGCACAAAGATTCACCTAAAAACATTGTGACTGCTTGCATAAATGGATGATTGAAATTTGTTGCAGTCCATCCATCAACAGAAACTTTGCTTGTATTTTATAATTTATAGACTATTAATAATATAAATTCGAACTAGTACCTATTGTATTAGCTGCCCCTGAGAGAATCATGGCAGTAATCAAAAGCGTAATAAATGATGCTGATTTTTCCCCCATTTAATAAATAAAATAAATTAAATCTCCATATACAAAAGAATTTTTCCACAAATAATTTAACATTATGGCATTTTATATAAATGTTTTAATATCAATAAACTCCAAAAGAAGTTAAAACAAATTTAATTAATTATCACAATATAGTATGTAAATAAATATATAGATAATTAGATGTATATATATAATATTTAACAAAAGTACAATAGTTATTTTCATTATTCATTTAAAGATCATTTTTATTATACCTAAGGATAGAGCAATAAATGGAATTAATAAAAGTAAATATGTCTTAAAAATAGTATATTTATTTTTACTCTTAAATTAATACGATCTATGAAATTGTTTATCATATCAGCAATTATACCACTTAATTCGATTCCTCTTTACAATTCCCAATCCACATTTATACATAATTCCAATTCTCTACAAAATATTTTTTATGCCGGTAATTATAGAAAACATTTCTATTTCTCATAATCTAAAATACATCCCTAAATTAAATGATTTATGAACTTTTCGTTTTTACTCCAGCTGTTATTACTGAATATTAAGTTTGCCTTATATATCTACATAAATGACAAATGAAATGATTATCCCCAACAATAAAAATATTAATGACCCAAAATTAATCTTTTAAACCTTTACATATTTCACTTCATCTGTTTGGGTAGCTTTATCTACTAGAAATTTTTAGGAGATTCCTTCTAATATTTCAGATTATCTTATAGTTTCTATAGACATATTTGATAAACCTTTATCCATCAAATTTAATAATTACTTAGTTATTAGTTAATAAGTAAAAGTCAATGTAAGATAAATAATTTATAAATATGATTAAACTAAGAAAGTAAGTTCAGAAATACAAAAATTGATATTGTTGATTAACTTACAATCCTCTTTATGATTTGGTTCTACATTCAATATTACTATTAAAATTTACTTGCATTAAGTATTACAAATAAAATGATTTTTTAATATTTAAGCTATAATAATTTCTACAAAAATTTATTAGGAAGCCTTATATCATCATTAAAGGGAAAGTGTTAAAAGAAAAAATTATTATATGAAAATAATTGGATCATGGGACTTTATTCTTCTTCTATGACAAAAATCTAAATACGGAAAATCCTAGGTTCTCGCTCTAACTTCTTATTCTAATATTCTTGAGATTAGTTTTTTATATACATGTTCTTTAAGTGCTTTTTAACAAGGAATATGATTAACAGCCCTTGGTTTCTCATCAGTTTCTGATTCTTCAAAAATGACATCCTCTGGAGAATAAACAGTCAATTTTTATTATTATATTTTTGGCCCTTTAGGCGGCTCAAGGCTCAAGGGATCAAGTATTTAAGGAGACTCTTTTGGTCTTTGTATTTTTAAAACAAATACCTAATATGAGGTTTAGGAGGTGGTTTATCATAAGCATCTAAATATTCTTAATAAGTCATGGAGGAATGATATCTCTATCGAATTTCTTAAGTGTAAAGATTATCCATAATTTTTAAATATAAATAATAAAATCTAAATAAATACTCATTATTTATTTATTCCTTCTGGTGGTATGAATTCCACTTCATCCAAAGCATAATAAAATAAAACACAAGGATACAAATCATGATCAGATTTTGGAATATCAAGTTTGAATGTTGTACTAGACTAACATAAATAATAACATTTAACCTTTTGTTTTTGGAATGTAATATTTTCATTCTTAGGATCATAAGTGCAAATAATAATATCACCCTTACCAAATTTAAAACATTTAACAACATTATTTTGATTAGAAGTTGTACTTGACCAAGCACCACCATTTGATGAAACCATATATGCTCCATGTCCAAGTGATTGAAATGCAAATCCAAATTATTTGCTTTATACTATTGATAAATCACATACTCCAACTGCAATCCAATTACTTTAATGAACAAACTAAGAATTTATTAATAAATAATTATACATTTAATTTGAAACCAAATACAGTTGTCTAATTTTTATCTAAAGATGGAGTCATCACTGCAAATTTATATCCATGATTTGAATTACTTGCTTTAAAATATAATTATATATAAAATATACCTTTTACAATCTTTGGTTGTATTATATCAACTTATGGATGTTTATTATTTGCTAAAAATTAGAATTAATAGGATTTCTAGAAAATTGATTTCTATGTCTTTGATTATAATAAATCTATCTATTATTCTATTCCTTAATTAAATTATTTTTCTAATTATTATAAATGATCTTTTTAATCTTTTATATGAAAATCGAATATTCTATTGATTTCTTCATAATTTAGATCTTTTTCTGGAATTTCCTATACAACTAAAGTATCAAGCAATGTTTTAACTGAACTACTCAACATTTCAACATTAGTTTAATTTTAAATGATGGTTTCAATGACTGCATCTAAATTTTAATTAAATTTTAATAATTACATTAATTTCCATTGCTGAATTCTCTCATTTTCACAAATTTACGTAAATTTTCAAAAAATTCTTTCTCTAAATTAACAATATTAGATAATTTATTGTTAATTTACTCTTTAAAGTCTTAAATGTATGTCAATTATTTTTCTTCTTATTCATTGATTTTCTTTATTAGGATATCCTTTTCACTTTATTTTAAAGAAATATTTTAATATTCTCTAAATGTTGTATTAGTATATACCTTAATTATTAATCATATTCACACAATAACAATTTTAATGGTTTTAATTGATGTCCCTTATGAAATTCTTCTTAACATATACAACAACATAAAATTTGACCTTATAAACAATCTTTTTCCAGACAAATCAAACTCATAGATTCTCCACTATGATCACCTCCAAAAGGACATTATGGATATTAAAGACTTGAAAACTTTTTGATATTCAATTTGTCATCTGGCTTATTCATTTGTTTATAAGTCTTTACCATATTTTGTACCCATTATTTCATTTTTTTTAATTTAAAAATAAATACTCAATGTATGAAATGCAGAGTTTTAAGAATATGATATGGAAGAAAAAGGGACTTATAATAACAATAAGAATATTTACATTTATAAGAAAGATGCTAGCAAATCTTCATTCATATTAGTTTAGAAAACTCACTCATTAAAATTTCAAAGCCTTAAATGATCAATCTGCATATTATAGATTCTATGCAAATAAGAATTATGTTAATAGTAATTTAACTTATATGGTATAATTTTTATATTATAAGGACAAAATAAGATATTGGTTCAATGCTAATAACTTTCTAAATAAAATAAAGACAACCTACAAGTATACATTATTTAGTCACACAATAAATCCTAATAACAGTTTCAAACTAATTTTTGATTTTATTCTTTCAATAATGCTAGTCATCAATGTGGCTTATTTACCTATGAATATGAGTTTCAATATTGAATGGCCAGAAGCAGAAATATTATTATTAATGTTGCCAGATTACTTATTTCTTATTCATATAATACTTTAATTTAATACTGCATATTATGATTCTGGAGTTTTGAGGTCATAAAGAAAAGAAATAGCAAAACATTACTTAAAAAATAGTTGTATTTTAGATTGTTTAAGTATGGTACCTCTAATATTTAATTTTGATTAAAGCTACTTTATGAATTTTTTCATATTGCTTAGATTGAATGCATTAGTGGATATACTATTATTTTTTGAAGAGAATTACAATATGCGTAAAAATTATGGAACTTATATTGATGTAATAAAATTAATGAGTATATTTCTTTATTCATCACATATTTTTGCATGTCTATTTTTTTTAATAGCCAAAACTGAAATAAGTGATGGAGTGTAGGATACTTGGATTTAAATTAATCATATTTAAGATGCTCCTTGGTAATAATAATATGTTACTGCAATGTATTGGGGTTCAGTGACTACTTTAACTATAGGATATGGAGATATTTTACCTACAACTAATATAGAAAGAGCTTATGTAATTCTAGTGGCATTATTAAGTTCAATAGTATTTGGATTCACAATTTCAAATATTGGATAGATTTTTAATAATATAACTGAGTAAAAGAAAACTTAAAGACATCGAATGAGTATGATAACTTCATTTATATAAAAAAGAGGATTAAATAAAGAATTAGAGATAAGAGTCAGAAAATTCTTTGAATATTATTTTTAAATTGAAGAAAATCGAGATTAAGAATGTGAAGTTCTAATGTAATAATTAACAGAAGATTTAAGAAAAGAAGTTAAAATAGATTTTTATAAAAGATATTTAATGAAGCAACCTTTAATATTTAAAACTTTTAGTGAAGAATTTATAAATAAAATTTGTTTAATTATGCATGAACGTCTTTTGATTCCAGAAGAAAGATTTTTATTTAAAGGTGATCAAGTAAATGATCTATCATTTATTATAGAAGGTTATGCAGATATAATAATTGAATTTAATAAAAATAAATAAAATAAATTATCTTAAATTAGAAGATTAAATTAATCTTAAAGTATTGCTATGAATTACTTTTTCACTTAATCGCCCATTCCTTATACAATTAAATCAAAAACTTTTACAAGAATAGTATAAATCAATTTATAAGAACTTTAATAACTATTATTAAGTTATCCTAAAGATTGGGAGAAATTTAAAAAACTATAATAAAGTATAAGATTGAATGAATGTCCTTTAATTGAATGTGATATTTGTAAGTAGACACATTAATTAGAAAAATGTAATGTCTTATTTTATACTCCAAATTCGAAATAGATAATAAAGAAAATATATTCAATCAAATAAGATAGATCTAATTTTATAAGAGAAAATAGAATATAATATGTATTAATTTTATCTTTTAATTTAGTAAACTTTTAATGACAAATTAAGTATTTAAGAGGGTGTTTTATCTTTTGCTATTGATGAAAATTATTTTTAAAAAGAATCCATTAATGAAGAATTTGTTTAGAAATATGATTTCGTTCGATTAAGAAATGCTGAATTAAATATGGAAAATAGATCAATTAAAATTGCATAATCATCCAAAGAAGAACCTAAAATAATAAAAAGAAGAAATGGTGTCAGAGCCTCTATTAGATAGGTTATTGCTGAAAGTAATGAATCATCTGATAGTGATTCCTAAAATCTTATATAAATGTTCAAAATACTCTCTTATAGATCATCAGAATAAATTGAATTTAAAAATTATCCAGATTAAATACTCTATAATGAGTATTTAAATATCATCAAACCTGATGTTGTATCCTATCTAGATAAATAAAAAGAATTTGAACATTTTAATCCATAAGATAATATAACTAATGTTTTATAAAGAAATATTGAAGTTAATAAGAATTATTTTAAACTTAAAACTAAAAAGTCAAGAAGACTAATTAAAAAATCCACATGGCTGGATAGCGTTAAACCTAAAAAGGTTCAATTTTGATGAATTATATTGTTATATAATAGTTTCAATTTTAATACTAAAATGATACAACATTTATATGATTTTATAAAATGTATATATTATTTATTTCTTATGCATTTTTAATTATCTTAAAACATGACCTTAGACCTAAGAAGTCCTATAGAAGATGGTTTTGATGATGACATAAGCTCTACACAATAACTAAGTGATGGATCAGTTGAATCATTGGAAGACCTCCTCCCTAAAATTCATTAAAAATAAAACCCATTTTGTATAATAGAAGAGAAGATAATACAATATCTCAAATAATTAAATCTAGCATTTAAAACTGATCCAAGAAAAAAAGAGTTTGAATATAAGTATTAATTATGTCTTACACT